TACGCACTCCTTGTAATCTTATTCGATCAACTACTGGATTAATACTAGCTAAGAGTTTCCTTTTAACTTCCTCACTATTTTGTATTTCTGTACTCTTAACAAAAACAATATTATCACTAACCTCTTTTATAATCTCATTATCTAATCTACTACTCTTTACTTTTTCAGAATACAACATTGACCTAGGTACAGAAGTAGGTAAGTCAGAAATATATTTACTCTCATATACATTAACCTTACCAATTAATCGTTCATTTTCTAAAGCTAGAGTACGAACAATTCCTACCACTTGACTAAACATTTCAATTACTAACTCTGTTGTCGGTTTACTTAACCTACAATCTTTGTGTAGAACTTTTTTGCGAAACTCTATATATAATCTTTCTGCATCTTGCAGCAACTCTAAACCTTCACATTCAGTATCTGTTTCAGAAGGATGAGACAATCTAGTCATACCTACTTTTTGACCAGCACTCCCAGCCGGTGATTCTAATTGAGAGCCAGGAGACTCTCCCCCTTCCCCCCGCACTTGTAAATACTTATCTTTCTTTTTTATACTACTCATAATAATTAAGGAGTTCCCCAATACCCCCCAGATCCAGATGCGCGCCTGACCCTTCAGCCATAACATGAGCCCGACCATGCCCAGAGGCTTATGAGAGAGCCAAAGGCAGGCCCCGTGGCCTCGGCAATGGCCCCCACCCCCTGCCAGAGGGTCCTGGCCAGGACGCCACCCTGCACTCTGACAGGGGGCAAGATTATCCACTAGTTGATCGGGGCTGCCAGGGTAAACTGGCTAGGCCCCCAAACTGGCTAGGCCCCCCGGGCCCCTCACTACCTAGTGCCCCAGGTGTGCCCCCCCAGTTTTAGAGCTGTACCCTCGGGGACTGTCTTCAACCCTCTCCCCCCAGGGCCATGACCAAAACACATGCCACAGCATCCAAGACAGGCTAACACCTGAATCCCCCGCCGCACATTAGCTTCCCCAGGACGCATACCATTACAGCATGCCCCCTGGGTACTGAGCCCCTCTGCCACGACAAGGCTGGTACGTACGAGTTGGGGCCATTGCCTGGTTTGGGCACAAGCAATGGACCCCCATTTAGAGGAGAGTAGATAGGGACATTTCATTTCATTTCATTTGTTGGAACATCGCCTCTCGGAATCGGCTCAGTTGTGGCCGTCCCTTGAGACTGTTCCTGTTTGTTGTCTCTGTACACCGCTAGGCTTCGTAGAGAATTTGGGTACAAAGAATAAACTAAAATATTTACATGTGAAATTCACGCGCGACATTGTTACTTCCGTGATTCCGGAATTTATTAGATTACAGAGTTAATCGCGTGTTCTAAAGCTTACCGGATGGTTACTAATTGCCGTTTTCCTTCTGCTTGTTGTTTGTGTAGACCATACTGATAAGGTGGGTGAACAGGTTAGGATGTAACGCAATAGTGGCCGGGGAGGTAGGCCAGATAAGTCCTTCATAGGTGCACGCTGATCGAAGATCTTGCCTATGTTGCTCTAGCCGGATACAGTTGAATAGGAGATGATGAGGGTTTTCGGGAACACCGCAGGTCGTACAGTTTGGAGAATTGGAATGCCCGTGCTCATACAGGTATTCATTGAAGTTGCCGTGGCTTGTCAGGAACGCCGAGATATGATGATCTACGATGAGGTGGGTACACTGTAGCCTTTGATTAACATCAGGGATGAATCCGAATAGATGGCGTCCTTTGGTTGAGGAATGCCATTGCTGCTGCCAGATGCTGCGATGATGTAATTTCATCTGGTATTTGATGCTGCTTCTGGGGATGAAGTTGTAGATGCTTTTCGTGTCTTGGTCACACGCCTCCTTTGCTAACTTGTCGGCCGCTTCGTTTCCGATGTGTCCAACGTGGGCCTTCACCCAACAGAAGTGGAGGGTGTTTTCTTTGGTGTTCCTTAGGATGTGCCATATGTCTTGTACTAGCATACCTTTGTTGTTGACGTCCTTAAGGGCATCTAGTGCAGATTTGCTGTCTGTGCAAATATATATCTTCTTACGGAAAAGGTGTTGGTTCGTCCACTTCAGGGCCTGTTTGATGGCGAGTAACTCCGCTTGGAAATTGCTGCATCCACCGCTGAGTTTGCAGGATTGATGATAGATGTGCCGGGTCTTGTGTAGATAGACGAAGGCAGCGCCCACTCCATTTGGGCCTCTGGAACCGTCGGTGTAGATCCGGTTGCTGAGGCTGGCGCTGTAGTCGACTATGTTGATTTCTGGGATGAACCGAAGTGGGAGACGGTTGACGGCTGGAACGATGGGTTCGATGGTGTCGTTGGGTCCAGTGATATATGATGGTGTTAGGCCAAAGAGACGGAGCATGTGGGTATCATGCTTCTGCCGAACCTCCAGATCTAGGGGGAGGACACCGGCCAAGACGTGGAGGGCGTCATTTGAGACTGTTCTGTAAGCCCTGGTGATCCTTAGGAGGATTCTTCTTTGGATTGCAAGGAGTTTCCTTTTGATGTGAACTTGAGAAGATTTGTAGCTCCACGCACTTGCTCCATAGGTAAGCATAGGGATGATGGCTCCATGGTAGATTTGCTTAAGGGCCATGCCCGACAGACCCCAGTCCTTTCTGGCCACTTTGGCAAACCAGTCGAATAAGTTGCTGGTCTTCTGTGTTAGGCTCTCGATGTGCGGTATCCAGTTGAGATTTTCGTCCAGGACGATTCCCAGGTAATCCAGAGTTGGAGTGATGTTAACTTGAACATTGTCGAGGTGGATAGTAGGATGTCTTTTATTAATGTTGAAGTTGGTGACGATCATGGTGTTAGTTTTACTCGGGTTGAAGCGCAGCTTGTTGTCTCGACCCCAGCACTGGATTTTATGAAGGATATCGGTAGCTTTACGCTCTAGTTTGGCTCTACTGTCGGCCGTGATGACGAGGATGATGTCGTCCGCGTAGGCGGTGACGTGGCAATCCATAAGGAAGGCTTTACACAAGAGGTCGTCAAGCAGGATACTCCAAAAGAGCGGGCCAGAGCAGGAGCCTTGAGGGCAACCGATGGTAATACTCTTGTTGACACAGATGTCTCCGTAGGAGAGGATAGCCGTCCTGTTAGTGAAGTAGTCCTGGATCGTCTCGTAGAGATTGTTCGGGCAACGGTGTTCTTCAAGTTTGGACAGCAGGAGCGGCCACCAGGCGTTGTCAAAAGCTCCTTGGATGTTGAGGCTGATGACTGCAGTCCACGTGGCAGTTGTTTTACATTCTTGTATTTTGTTGACAACTCTGTAGATTGCGTCCTCGGCGCTGGTGTCCTCTCTGAAGCCATATTGGGTGCGATGAAGAGGGTGAGTGGCGTAAAGCCATTCCTTCAGCCTGGTGGTAATCAGTCGGTCTAGGAGTTTACCCAAGGTGGGGATCAGACAGATCGGCCTGTAGTTCTTAGCTTGTTTGGTATCTTTATTCTTGCCTTTGTAGATTGGAGTAACAGTGGCAATCTTCCAATAACTAGGGAAGATACCATGGCGGAGACAACAGTTGCAAAGGGAGAGGAAGAGCGTCGGGAGCCGCTTGTGGATGTACTGAAGTATCTCGGACGTAAGACCATCGTGTCCTGGTGCCTTTCCTTTCTTGAATTTATTGAGGGCCCAGTCCACCTCACACTGAGTGAAAGCTGGGATGTTAGCGCCTGTAGACTTGCGTTTGAGGTTATTTCTTATGTTGGTGTGTTTTAGGTTATCTGTGGCTGGGTCATCTTTCTTGAAGAATTCGTCCATGAGGATGTTTAAACAGTCTTTAGTACTGGAGCCTTGTGCGCCTTCGCTATTCTTTAGGTCCGTTAACTGGAATTTGCTCCTTAGTTTGTTGGTCCCTATTTTGTATAGGACGTTCCAGGGGTCGTTAGATGAGCGGGTGCAGAAGTCTTCCCAGCTCTCTTTTTTGGCATTTCTGATGTGGTCTTTATATTTCTTTTGCTCCTCGAGATAGATGGCTTTGAGATGAGTCCTTACGCACGGATCCCTACACTTCTGGTAACGTCTTCTTGTGGCTTGTAGTTTACTCTTATGGATCTGGAGTTTGTAGTTCCACCAACGGACGACACGGTCCTTATCTCCATAGAGAGGGATGTTACGGTGTACAACATCGGTGAGGTGACGTAGGAAGTGGTTGATGGCATCCACGGCTTCAGCTTTCGTGTTTAGGGCATCTAGGCTGGTGGCACAGGGGGACAGTAGGTTGCAAATCCTTTCCCAATCAGCACGTCGAAGGTTGAATTTCTTAATGTTCGTGGTTGGAGCAGGAATGTTGGTTAGCTTGAAGGAGATGTAGCGATGATCAGATAATGAGGGTTCTTCCAGCACTTTCCAATCGGAGATGTTGTTTAAGGCGAGTTTATTACATATGGTGATGTCCACGTTTGAGGACCCATTGCTGCTCTCAAAGGTGCTTAGATTCCCAGGCTCGTTCAAGAAGTAGAGGTCCTTTTCTCCCGCAAACTCCTCGATGGCTTCTCCTCTGCTGTCAGTCTCGTCTTCAAACCAAACATAGGAGTGGGCATTGAAGTCTCCACCTATGATTATTCGATGAGTATTGTTGTACTTGTCTATCACTGTCTCTATGTTCTTTAGAGCTTCGGTCATGCTCTCATCCATTGGGACATATACGCTGCCGAAGATCCACTGTTGGTCTGCATTCACCACTTCTATGTAGGTCTGGCAGTCATTGCAGTAGTTGGTAAGGAGTAGGCAGTTAATGTTGGGGTTTGTCAAGCCGATCATGGACCAAGGTGTCTCACTTCCGCTGTAGTAGAGCTTTCTCATCTGGATTGGCCAGCCGTACGGGGTGTTGTTCCTCTGGTACGGTTCCTGGATAAGGAGAATGCTGGCAAGGTTAAGTTGACTTGCGACCAGCTGGGAAACCGCCGCAACGCCTCTACCGAGGTTGACCTGTAAGATTTTAATAGTATGATGATTAGTACGTATTGGATGGCTTTCTTCGTTGGTTAATGTCGTATTATCCATAGTTGGTTCTTGTTTGGATGTTTCGTATAATCTTCATTCTTTCACCACAGCAGGATTGATTGGCTCTGTGGGCGAAGTTGTTAGCGTTGTTCCTGACGCAGTTTATGCAGCTGGGCGCTGTACTTTTATTTCGGCATTCCGCGTACTTGTGGTCGCCGCCACAGTGGTTACAGTATGCACGGTCGCTGGAGCACTCCTTGGCAAAATGCCCGTATTTACAACAGCGAAAGCATTGGATTATGTTGAAGTATTCCTCTGTGTTACAGCGGACCCAGTCGATGTTGATTTTCTTCTGTTTCGTTAGTGATTTCTTCAGTTTTGGGGCAACCTCGCACACCCAGTGGTTCACGTCAGGTTTCCTTCCCCATTTATACTTGATTAGGATGTCTTTCTTGAATTCTTCCATGCTGGTGTATTGGTCTGCGATTCTTGTATTTTGTTGGAAAATTGCTTCGGTTATTTCTTCTTTAGTAAGGTCTTTTGGCACATTGTAGATGGCAATCTTCGGGAGAATCTTCTTGGGTTCTCTTGCTGTTAGGTTTGTTATCTTGTTGATTTCTTCTATTAGTTGTTTTTCGCTTCCTTTTCTCTCCACTTCTATGAGTACACTTTGGTTTCTAATTTTTCTAACCTTGGTAATCCCCACCTTGAGGACCTTTGGATTGAGTTGTTGTTTTATTCTCTTTTTGATTTCTTCTGCGTCCTCTTTCTTATCGGTGCTTTCAATGAGAATAACTGCAGAGCCGATGTTCGGTTTTGGTTCTGGTGGAGTTCCTCTGGCTTTATCTGCGTAGGAGACGGTCGCTGGCTTCTGTTGTTTTGTAGCCTCGATCAGCAGGTCCAACTTCGTAGTGATGTTGTCGAGTTCCATGTTGACTGGCTTCTTCGTTGATTTGAACACGTCGATCATCCTATCGAAAAATTCCAAGATACTTTTTGAGTGCGTCTTGGTCCCAAACTTGGAGTTCGGATTCTCCTCCATATACCTTTCCAGCTCCTCCCTGATGGCAAAAAGTTCAGTCATGTCAGGTGCTGGATGCTCCTGAGAAGGAGCGACTCCCTCGTCCCCATTCATAGCAAAAGCAGGTGAAAGGGTGAAGAAGTGAGAATTAGAAAATGAAATAAAGATAATGGCACTGAAAAGTGCCTTTTAGCTGCTGTTAGCACCACCTATAGAGGGGAAACAGGGCCACCACGTGTAGGTCAGCAGCAATGAGACTAGATAGCTTGTGCGTCAGCGATAAAGCGTCTAGATGACACTAAAATGTGAAATAGCTTTCGAAAAATCACTTCGAATAAGGCTCACGAAATCGCACACAAACACATAGGGTCTCAGCCCCAGTAGATAGGGACATTTTTTTTTTTTTTTTTTTTTTTCATTTACTAAGTATCTTTATTTTTACAACCCTCAGTTCCGCTAGGCACCACTGAGGTAGTTTACATATTTACATAATTTTACAGTTTTACATTGGTTTCAGAAGTTACATTAAGTATAAATATAAACAAAACAATTTGAAAAAGAGTAAATACACATCAACAAATGCCGTCACAATGTACCTTAGTGACTAACAATATAATGAACAGTGCTTGTGTTCCAATGTAATAGAAATTCCATTGCTAGTAGAATTATTTAATTGACACTAGTTCTTTTAAAATACGTGTTTACCAGATCAATGAATGCTTGAAGAGGTTCTTTGATTTTCATGATCTTGTATAGGTCCTGAGGCCAGTTTGCCTCAGTTGGTAGCAGTAATTTAATATCATTTCTTCTATCCTCAAGCATTGGGCAATCCAGGAGGTAGTGCATAGCACTGTCTGGTGTGCCACATAATTCGCAATTATGATCAGTTGTTTTATTGAAACGAAATAGGTAACTGCTAAATTTACCGTGACCGGTATAAAACTGAGTAACGTTATGACTAATAAAATGTTTGTCATTGGTAGAAACCTTTGGGAAGAATTTCTTTGTTACTTGGTTATCTTGTTGATCCCATAAGTTCTGCCATTTCTGTGTTGCCGTTTCTTTAAGGTTGGAGATAATATGACTCCTAGGAATTGCGGTGTATCTTGGAGTACTATTTGAAGAGGAGACTGTGCGGGCCAGTTCGTCTGCCCGCTCGTTTCCAACGACCCCGGAATGCCCTCTCACCCAATTTATTGAATACTTATTATTATTATTTTTTGTCATTTCTATCAGAGTTTCTTTTACAATCGGGTGATTCCAGTTATAATTTATAATGGCTTGGAGGGACGAACTTGAGTCTGTGAACACATT